CTCATCTCCTTACATCTCCAGTGCTCAAATTGCTCTTTTTCACCCTATGAGGTCATGAAGTGATAGTTTTCATTTAGTTAACAGCTCTTTTCACCTTTAGTTCAGTAAAGATTTGCAATTCCAGGACTGAAATTATCCAAATGATTAGTTAGTCTGAGAGAAGAACTCCTAAAGATTCAGGTTTTGTGTGTTACAGTTTAAGTCTAAATTTCAGCGCACATTTTCAAAACTTTCCACTGAAAGAGAAAATACTGACACAACCTTATCACCATTTTCAAGCCTTAAGTCTCAGATCAAAACTACAAAAACACAATGATAAACTATTTAAACACAGATCACAGTAGTACCCCTCTCTGCACGTGCTATATTTATAAACGCTGCGCACTCCCACCAGAGTCCATAGAGCAAAGACACAAAGAACAAAACTGAACACACACCAATCACAATATGAAGATACTGTATGTTATAGATGGGGTCGTAGACAGGGGAGGGACAAGGGTTTACAGGGAGGGACAAAACTGGACACTCTTCCTATTTATTTACATTAGAGGGGGGCCCATGTGAGGCTTGTTGCCCCGGGGCCCCCAAATTTCTGTCGACGGGCCTGGTTATGGACACAGAAGCGCAAGAAAACATAAAAATCATAAAATACTTGTCGTAAAACCAGTGTGAACTACTCAGAGACTTTGAGGTCCAAGTCTGAATAATAATGTAATATTGTACATATAGTTACTACAATTACCGCACTTTCAGACCATCCAAAGAGTGTGATACAAGTCCTACAGGTCTATGACTCGTATTCTCCGCCCACTGTCTGGATGGCGGTTACATACGTTTATAAATCTGATGATTAGGGGTGTGCAAAAATACAGAAATATCAATATATCGCATCGTTTAATTTGATGATACAGTACTGATATCATGGGCTGCTGTATTGATATATCGCCAAGAGTATTTTTAGGTATATTTTACTAAATTATTTTGTGTAAGTGCCACAATTTTCACTGTTTTGATGAGTAAAATGGGTGTTTTTTCATATTAGCTTTGCACAAACTTAGTGGCTTTAATAGACTTTTCGTAGACTTTTAGTACCACACCCATGATTTAGCCTTTTTTCACTGAACTGTATAGAATCGATTTGAAATACATCATATCGAAAGTGCTCTGTATAGAAAATTGTATCGTATCGAGGCTTATGTATCGAGGTATGTATCGTATCAGCAACTTCTTAATGATACCCAGCCCTACTGATGACTGTGTTTGGATCTGAATCGCAAATTTACCTTTTTACAAGACTGTTTTGCTTTTTTTCACAAAGTAAAATTTTTTCAAACATTCTGAATAGTTTTGTGTCTTTGTAGTTAGCTTTGAAAAGCGCCAAATTTGTAAAAAGTTTCAGAAAATGTGTGAATGACAAAACAAAACACAGTTCAAAGTATGTTTTTCAGAAGGAATCAACATTATCAAATAGATCACAAAATAGTGTAATATGGGCTCATTAACTTGGAAACTACCTCTTCATGACATCACAAGTTGGGATAAAGCATTCTGAGCTTTGGAGATGTGGACAGACTAATAATAAAGTGTTACTCAAACATAAGCGAATGGAACAAAACACAACTCCGGGTCTGTTTGTGATGAGGAAATGACATTCTGACATGACTTGAAGCTCACAAGAGTCACAGTAGTGAAATACAGGAGCTTTAAGTGTGACAGGAGCACGTGTGAAAAGCAGGTGATGAAATGTCTTGTGAATGTGGCCAGAGCAGCAGACAAAGCACAGTGCAGCCAGTGTTCCGACGCAACCAAAACACAATCTTAAGCAAGTTTGGAAACGTGTATATGCAGTGGTGGAACGTAACAAAGTAAAAATAGTAGTAGTACTGTACTTAAAGTTCCTATATTACACAAATTACACTCTTGTGAGGTTTAAGCCATGGTAGAATGTTGTTATTTGATCAAAAACAGAGCTGGAGTTGTGGTTTGTTTCAATCACACATGTTTGAGTAATTCTTTATTATTAGTCTGTCTGCATCTCCAAAGCTCAAAATGCTCTGTTCCACCTTGTTCAGCAAAAATTGCCAATGCAGCTGTACCTGTGCCTCACCTGTAACTGAATAAATGTAAAGTAGAGCTGTTTAATGTCATACTATGGAACAAGCAGGTGAAAGACCAACCACAAAGTTTCACAGTGCACTTTCAAAACTGAGTACTTCTTCCCAGGTTGTGTATTTAGCTTTATGAACTACACTGCTCAAACACTTCGAACGCATCTGATCATCAGGAACAAAAAGATGCCACCTCTTTTAATGGAAATATATTTTTCAGGCTACAGAGTGTTCAGTTTTATAGACACGCTGAAAGTCAAAGTGAAATAATGATTTGGCAGGCTGGTCCATTTACATCTTGTGTGGGGCCCTTGTGCTTGTATGCATGTTTGACAACGTCATGGCTCGGTCCTAATGAGACAAAGGATGGTGTCCTCCCAGATCTATGTAAGGGCATCACTGAGCTCCTGCAGAGGCTGAGGAGGAACCTGGCGATGTCTGATGGACCCAAACATAATGTCCCAGGGGTGTTCTATCGGGTTTAAATCAGGTGATCGTGAGGGCCATTCAATTGTATCGATTTCTTCATTCTCTAAGTTCTGCCTGCAGACTCTTGCCACATGAAGACAGGCATTGTCATGCATCAGGAGGAACCCAGGTCCTACTGCACCAGCGTAGGGTCTGACAGTGGGTTCCAGAATTTCATCCCGATACCTAATTGCAGTCAGAGCTCTGTTTTCTATCCTGCAGAGGTCTGTGCGTCCCTCCATCGATCTGCCTCCCCAGACTATCAGTGACCCACCACCGAACCACTCTCCTTCTCTTCTCCAGACTCTTTCACGTCTATCATAGGTGCTCAGGGTGAACCTGCTCTCATCTGTGAAAAGCACAGGGCACCAGTAGTGGACTTGCCAATTCGGGTGCTGACTAACAAATGCCAGTGGAGCTCCATGATGCTGGGCAGTGGTTACGGGGCCCACTGCAGTTGTGCCCTCAAGCCTCCCTCATGAAGTCTGTTAATGATTATTTGGGCAGAGACATTCACACCAGTGTCCTGCTGGAGGTCAATCTGCACAAAGGAGCAGATATGGATCCTGCTGATGGGTTAAGGACTTTCTACGGCCCTGTCCAGCTTTCCTGTCTGTTCAAATCTCCCTGCAACGGCACGTCCAGATGTACCGTCCTGGAGAAGTTGGACAATCTGTGCAGCTTCTGTAGGGTTAAGGAATGGCCTCATACTCCCAGTAGTCATAATCACTCTAGCCAAAGCAGCACGAAGGGAAAACCAACCGAGAAACGTGAAATGACCTTCACATGTAAAACCAGTCCTGTTTTAGGGGTTGTCTCACTGGTGCTGCTCTAGTGCTCCTGTTGTTCATTTCCATTAAAACAGGAGGCATCCTTTTGTTCCCAAGACATTGCCCTGTCCATATTTGTATAGATATTAAACCGATTTTTTTTCAAATTGGGATCTAATGTGTTTTCAAAGTGCTCCCTAAATTTGTTTGAGAAATATATCGTGGTAAAAGCTTCCATTATTTAGGTCATAGTACAGTACGGGTACGCAAACAAAACGCCAGCAGCTTATGTTCTGTTTAAAGGTCCTGTATTACACAAAATTGATTCTTGTGAGTTTTAAGTCATGTTACCTCATCAAAATATGCATAGAATTGTGTTTTTGAGTTTTTGAGAATCTACTTTACTTAAATCCTCTGTCTGCATCTTCAAAGCTCAAAATGCTGATGTGGTGTCATGAAGCGGTAGTTTCCAAGTTAACAATTCCTTTTATCTTTTGGCCAGTAGAGACTGACAATTACAGAGCTGATATGACTCAAATGATTCTATTGAAGGTGCATGGAACACAGTATTTTGAGCTTTGGAGATGCAGACTAATAATAAAGGATAACAATTTAGGGCCTTTAAGATCCTTTTTTCCCTTTCAAATTGTAATTTTGGTGAAGTATGGCATTCAGCCTTAACAAGCATGAGTTTTCAATTAAACACATCGAAGTTGTAATTACCAGACACTATAAAAATACCGCACGCTTCTTGTGCATTGGTGGTGCTGCAGGTGCTGAAAATGAGCAAATAAAAGTATAGGTTTATTTAAGGCATATTTCAGTAAAAGTGTACAGCTGTTAAATAAATAAAGCAAATGTCATGCAATATATACATGCCCACTTTGTAATATGCAGTACACATTATTTAAAGAGTCAGCAGTGGTTAAGTACTGTACTTAAAGTTGCACTGCACAACTTTTCTGGTGGCGGCTTCGCTACCTGCTTGTCTCCATAGAAATGTTATTACTTTGTCTAGAATGTTCCACAGTGTAGATTAAACAAGGGGGACAGGCACTATACTACACTACATGTCAGATCTGTACTTTACTTGAGTACATTTTAAAGCAGATACTTTTTACTTTTACTTCACTACATTTGAGAGCACATTTCTATATTTTCTACGCCATGTTTTAACTGAACTGAAAAGTAATTTATTATTTTAAAGTTTTTTTTTTATAGTTTGAGAGCTGCAGAAAAGGCTGATAGTTAATTCTGCACAAATCTGTATCAAAAAACTACATTTTAATCTCTGTTAGATCTCTAAATCTACACGAAGTACATTTTAAATGGGTACTTTAAAACTTTTATTTAAAGGTGCACTATGTGACTTTTTGGTTGGGGGTCTGTCATCTGCTTGTTTCTATGGAGATATCATTACTCTTCCTGGAATATTCAGCAGTATGACATTAAACAGCTGTACCTTACATTTACTCAATTACAGGTAGTTTTAAAGCTCACAAATACCCAGAAAAACACATTTGGACTGTGATTGGAGTCGCCTCTCCACAGATCTGACCTGTATCTTTGTCTAGTTTGGTCTTCGTGAAGATAGAACGAAAAGCATTTGACGAACCCTCCACCAAAAAAAGTTAAACAGTGCACTTTCATTTTTTCATGTGGTACTTTTTTTTTTCCTCTGTTATCTGTACTTCTATTTCAGTCTCAGAGGTAACTGAGTTTTTTTTTTTTTTTTTAATGGACCATTCAAACAATGGTTCAAACACACTTGGTCACACTTTATAATGAGGGATACCTACAAATCCTGCATAAATGTTTATTAATCATTAACTCTTCATTTGCTAAAAATTACTTTCTCATTAACAAGTGTTTAATATTCATTTACAACCATGGACAAGTCAAAAACCTCTACCTACTAATGAATAAAACTTTCAAAAATTTTAATAAGGAACATCTACAAACAATTTACAAATGTTTATTCACTGCTCATGCACTAATAATGACATACTTGTCATTTTAATGAGGATAATTAATTCATTTTTAGTTTATTTAGTAAATGATTAGTTTTAATAATACCTCTGTATATATTTTGGCATGTGTTGTCTAGTGTCCAGATAACAATTCTAACAATCAGAATATGATTATTTTAGTAGATGACTAGTTCCAGTCATACTTTCCATGCATTCATTTAGTACTTTTGCTTTATATCTAAATCTATTGCAAATGATAGCAAAGAAAACATTATAAAAGAAATTGCATATAAAAATTTAAAAGTGTCACAAATAAATAAACACAAATAAATACATGCTAAATAATTCAGCAAATATTTTTTTCTTCATTTCATGATTTGAATAACTGAAATAGGTATTTAGATATTTCTTATTTGTATTTTCTTACCTGTGCCGGATGCCCACAGCGAGCCACAGCAGGCAGCAGAGGCCCACCACCACAGCCCAGATCAGAGCGATGCTCAGGAACATGTCCACAAAGACAACACAGCTCTACAACTCGACAGGAGCACAGATCTACTACAGCTCTACAGGAGGGGACAGAGAGAGCACACTGTCTCTTTAAAAGCAAAGCTGCCCTGTGAGCTACACTATTGTGAATGAGTGACATCCACACGCTCTACACGTTTAAATACACTCCCCAAACCCCGCCCCCTCAGCTCCAACGCATAGACCACAATACAACCTGCTGCTTGAGCAACGTGATGCAACCACATGAATGGTGAGTGACAGGGCAGACTACTCACTTTATCTAAACTGTTTATTCTGCTCATTATATTTAAGGTTTTACTAAAAATATGACCATATTTTTCTGTTTTCATTTTATCACTCTGATGATCACTGAAAGCGATCAGAATCACATATCATGACCATTACCGAATCTGACTGGTCAAAGTGTGATTGGTCAAACAGTGGAACAAGGTAAGAATCAAAGCTCTTACCTTTTCACAAACTAAATAATCCACATTTTCACTAAAATAGGCTGAAGTATGTCTGTCACGTTTGTCTTTGTTCATCTGGGAGCTTTGCCTCTGGCAACGTGATTGGTCCACACGGTCGGTTAACCAGGGGCACATGCCAAGATGGATTCTCATGAGTTTGTGAACTCACAAATATCAGAGAATCCATCTTTCTGTGCATTGCAAGACACAGGCAGCAGACATGTCATGTGTAGAGAAAATTAAATTCCATGTTAACAAGGGCCCAAATCGTTGTGAGAGTACGGCTGAATCATTCAAATTAAACCAAAGAAAGAAAAATATCTGTGTAAAAATACATTAATAGCTTAAGCTATTATACAAAATGTTTTTTTGTTTGTTTTAGCTACTATGTTATACAGTTGTTTGAAGAGGTCTTAGATGTCATCCATGCATGTTTGAGTAATCTAGTGAGCTCTCCTGAGCCCTATTCGAACCCACCTTACAGTTAGCTGTAAGATTCTGTACAAGGCTCCGTCCACAAGCCTACATCCCCCACACTCCAACACGACAGTCCTCCATTAATATACAAAAGTATGATACAAAACTGTACACAGCAACTATGCAATAGTTTCAATAGATGCACACTGACTGTTTTCGTGATGGCGCTGTTAAGAGGGAGTTATTTAGCACGGAGAGCAAAGGGAGGGGTAAGACTCAGAGCGTCAAAAATCAGAGTGATCGTCATGTGTTCATAATTAATACCACATAAAAGTCAAGTTAAGACCTCACTTAGCGCTCGTCTACCTCATTGCTTCTTGACCTGCTCCTCAGCCGTCATCGCTCACTCCAAATACTCCTCCTCCTCCCTGTCCTTCACTTTACTCCCTGCCATTTATTTTAGTCCAGAAGGGAAATAGGTGGCGTGCTATTCTCCACCGAGCCAGCCTTCAGGGGTCAGGGCAGGGGTGCATCTGGACACGCTGTACCTGCTTTTAATGTGTTAAAATGTTACAAATGGAGGAGTGTGAGAGCGATTAATGACGAAAATGTTTCTTTGTTACTGAGGGCAGGGCTGTAAAACTATGAACTATTCTACTGTGCAAGAGGTGAACGGCCTTCACGAAGTCCGCTTCTGCTCCACCATCAGCACTATGTGAAGAAGCAAAGTACTGTACTTAAAAGTTTTAGGTATCTGTACTTTACTTAAAGATGCATTGTGTAGTTTTTTGCTTGGACGTTTGTCACCTGCTTGTTTCCATAGTTAAGTCTTTGGTCTGCCTCGAATGTCCCACAGTATGACATTAAACAGCTCTGCCTTACATTTATTCCATTACAGATGGCTTTATAGCTCAAAAATACAAACCTATAAGCAGATCTGATAAAGTTACACAATGCACCTGTATAGTACTATAGCGCTCACAGTCAGAAAGTCTGTTTTTCTAGGTATTTATACCTATCTTACCACCTGTAATTGAATAAATGTAAGTGTGGCAAGACCGGCTTTGGGGGTCTAGGCTGCAGGTGCTCTTACCTGGCGTTCCGTGGCGCTGCGCTGGTGGGCTATTTAAGCGCTCCCTTCTCAGTCGTTCCCCCTTTTTGGCTCACACGCTCTAACGGGCCTCTCCTTGTGGCCGCTCTGTCCTCCAGCTCAGTGTCGCTGCTTGGCCGGTGCTCTGCACCACATCAGTCCCTCGCTCCTCCGAGTCACGGAGCACCTAGGGCGCGCTTTCATCTCCCCTGATAAGGTAATGCACGCCCGATACTCCTCCACTCATTCATCCGTGCCCATACTTTTACCGGTGTCTCTCTGTAGCTCCACGGGTGAGCCGAGCGAGTCCCTCCCCATTGCGCTTGGCGGTGCGCCGCCGTGTCTCTTAAACCGCGGCGGCAGGTAACCAAAACCCTATCATCACGTGCTACCTGTGCCAAACCACTCTAAATTGTATGTTTGTAGCGTGTGCCGGTCCACGTTGTTTGGACCACGTCTGGACGGCGTTATTCTGTGTAGTTGCCTTCGATTCAGCCTGGGGATTGCGCACTGTCACCTTCAACCACGGTATGTTTAGCCCAGATCCTTGCACTGCAGGCTCCGATTTTAATTCCAAAATTTAATTTTCTAGGTGTCAGCGGGGGCCTGCAGCGGCGTGAGGACACCACCTCTGCTGTTTTGTTTGTTGTGTTCTGTTTTGCTGTGTTCTGTTTTGTTGTACCTCTGCTCCACATTTGCTTTGTTTTGTTGTACCTCTGCTCCACATTTGCTTTGTTTAGTTTTACCTCTGCTTCACATTTGCTTTGTTTTGTTTTACGTCTGTTTTGCTTTGCTTCAGTTTTGCTTTGGGTTTTGGGGTTTCGTTTTGCATTTTCAATATTGTGTACTCATTCTCCCACTGTAGTGTTTTACTGTTTGCTGATTTTTATGGACGTAGCTACTTTTAAACCACTTAAATCTGTCTTTTAAAATAGAAAGAAATAAAGATTTGTGCAAATGATGGAACCTGGCTCTCTCCCTTAATGATATGCTTACCTGTGTGCCTTACATTTAGATTTCATTTCCCCAAACTAGATTTGGGGTGGCGTTGTTGCAGCAACTCATCATAAAACTTAACATTTCCCGGAGTGTTGAACCCCTCGGTTGCCACATAAGGTAGAGCTGTTTAATGTCATACTGTGGAAAATGACAGGCAGAACAATGACATTTCCAAAGAAACATGCAGGTGCACTATGTAACCCCCAACTAAAAAGTTACACAGTGTACCTTTCAGTAATAAAATTTTTATTTCTTCCACCACTGGACTACAACCACATTCAGGCTGGTGCCACCTAGTGCCTCCGGTTTTCCCAGAAGTTGTAGACTGCGCACCACCCAATCAGCGAAGAGCTGTGAAGCCATGATGTCAAACTCAAGCTCCTGTTTGGGTCCCTTTTGTGGTACAGCACAACTGTAAACAAAGTGTCGAGATGGATGTGAATGAAGACAGAGATTCTGTGTTGGCAACGATTCCTGAGATTGAGGATTTAAAGCTGGAACAAAGAATGTTTGGTGGATTTTATCAAGGGGAAAGATGTTATTGCCTTCCTACGGGGTTTGGCGCATTACATACGTCATGACCAAATAGCAGCGATTGGTTAAATAAAAAAAAGTACCTGCCTACCGTCGAGCGAACTGTGAGGTCAGATGGTTTCCATGAAGTGAAACTGGCTGGTGAATCAGACTACTAAATGCTCACATTTTTCTATAGTGCTTTTCCACCTTCAAGGCACTCAAAGCGCTTTGCAACAAGGAACCACTCACCCATTCACACACACATTCACACACCAGTGTACGCAGACACTGTGGGCAAGGTGGGTTAAGTATCTTGTCTAAGGACACAACGACCGCATTCATCTGTGGGAGCTGGAATCACACCAGCCAACCTGTGGGTCAGTGGATCTGACCGCTTAACCTGTGCTGTTTATGTCAAGAGCTGGAATTGAACCGTCAACCTTCAGATGGGTGGTGGGCGAATGCTCTACCAACTGAGCTACTGCCACCCCTACTACATCTATGTTTTTCTTGCACTTTACAAAGATATCTAATCCCTTTTTTTTTTTTTTCTTTAGGTTCAGATGAATGTGACTGAGGTATTAAAAAATAGCAACAAAAGAGTGAGAACGAGCTGGACTAAGTGGGACCTGCAGAGTGGAGAGGACTGTACGATCTGTGAACATGTGAGTTTAAGTTTGGTTATTATAAAACAAAGTGCCAGATCCTCCCTTATGTCATTATGTAGTCTACAGATAAAATGTGTGAAGCTTTGATGGCCCTAAACGCTCTGTCTCATTCTTTTATGAAGTTGGGTTTATGCAGGTGCTTGTATTATATAATGTCTGAGGCAATGAACATTTTAATGCATTACCAACTCTTGGTGCAGAGAGGTGCCAGGCTGGCACCACCTAGTGCCTTCGCTCAATTTAATTTCTCTCCAGCAACTAGGTCTGGAATCAAATACACTAGATGGTTTGCAAAAACCCCGGAAGTTGTAGACTGTGCACCAGCCAACCGGTGAATAGCTGAAGCAACCCAAGTTGCGATAGCAGACTGCCTACACTATCCTCCTTTGGACGTCCTTTGACAAATACAAACTACACATTTTTTATTGCACTTTTAATTCACAAGTTCATCTTGCAGAAACGACAATGATCATTGACAGACATGTTCACTCTCTGCTTTGTTTGCTGTTGTGCTTGGATATCACTGAGCATTCCGGCGCATTACATATGTCACGACCAAAAAGCAACGATTGGTTAAATAAAAAAGTACCCGCCTACTGTCAAGTGAACGAATCCCAATGCTGCGAGGTCAGACAGTTTCCACGAAGTGAAACCAGCTGACAAATCAGGCTAGCAAAGATCGGCCATGTTGGGAAACCTTCTAGGAAAATGCGCACTGGATTGTGGGATGCCTCATAGCTTCTTACAGCTGGTCTGGAAGCTCCAGAGGTTCCAATGCTACAGAAGCTAGAAAAGGAAGCATAAAGGCTCCTTTTCCTAACTCCTTCCTAACTCAGCGGACTTATCCGGACAGTCGTTATCATGGCAGACGGTGATGCACATCCATTTTATAATAACACCTTACTATACAATAACACCTTATTTAGCCTTAATAAACATGATAAAATACTTAAG